TCCAAAAAACATCAAAAAAGTAAAAGCAAGTGGACAAAAAATACACTGCATAAATGCACAAGAACAATCACAAAAAAAAAAAAAAAAAAAAAAAAAAAAAAAAAAAAAAAAAAAAAAAAAAAAAAGAAAGAAAAGAAAAGAAAAACAGCAACAAAAACAAAATCCTGCAGTACATAGGGAGGGGACCATAAAAGAAAAGAGGCAGAGTTGTAGAATAATGGGGAAAAAATGGAAAAAAACACAAAAAGAAAAACAAGGAATGGAGTTAACCATGAAAAAGGAAAAATGGGAACAGAAACAGGGAAGAGAGAGAAAGATGAAAACAAAATAATCAAAAGGACAAATAAACAAAAAATAATAATAATAGTAATGCTTTTTAAATAGACAAAGACAAACAAACTGAACAAAATGGAAAAAATAAGTCTGGGCAGGGCACCCAGGCTCCATTGGAGCACAGTGACTGGGATGGAATTCTGCTGGTACAGAAAGTGGGTGGGAGTTAGTGGAAGTTATGGATGACCTCACCTCCATTCACAAAGAAGATTTGGGGTATAAGAGTAACAAAAGGAATGTTGCACCTTTTCAGTTGTTTGAGTTCGGAATGTCCTTATAGTTCCCTGCAAGTGGAGCCTATTCTTAGATCCCTGGAATCTGAGAGAACACCGTTGCTTTAAATATCCAAAATTGTTCAACCACTTGTAAACATTCAAAATGGCTGTACCCTCCAGACAGTTAAATGTCCACAGCTCAGCCTGTCTCCCTCTATGTTGCTTCCCATTTTATTCATCAGCCACCAGTGCAGTCCTCTGTGCCACCCCTGCCTTGCAGGGCCCATTTTTAGGTTAATTTTTAGGTCTTAACACCACTTGGCAAAATCCAAGCTATATGTGCCTTCAGGAATGTTGACAGACCGCAGCTTTGTATGTCTCCTTTTTCTGTGTTTTCATCAAGATTCTTCTACCAGTTGGAGTTTAGTGTGCTTCTGTATCCTTTTCAAAATGCAGGGCTTCAGGATTGTCTTCTGTATCCTTGTTAATTGGTTCCCCTTTTCTTTGTTGAAGAGGGTCTGTGTAGTTTGTCTGCTTATTCCGCCATCTTACCAGAACTCTCTTAAAATTAAATTCTTAAGTTCATCTACAGACTTCCACAACAGAGTGAAAAGAGAATCTACAGATTAGGAATGACATATCTGACAGGGGACATATCTCAAAATTTACAGAAAACTTCAACACCTCAACAAAAAATAGATAAACAATCTAATTCACAAATGAGCAAAGGACATTAACAGACACTTCACTAAAGAAGTTATACAGGCAGTCAACAAACACATGAGGAAACTCATGATCATTAGCCATTAGAGAGATATAAATCAAAACGACCATGAGATATCCTCTCATCCTAGCAATAGTAGCAAAGTTCAACAAGACAGAAAATAACAAATGCTGGTGAGGTTGCAGAGAGATTGGAACCCTCATATATTGCTGATGGGACTGCAAAATGGTACAGCTATTTGGAAAATGGTATGATGTTTCCTTAAAAAACTGAAAATAGAAATACCATTTGATTCAGCAATTCCTTTACTAGGAATATACCATAAAAAGGTAAGAGACAAGATATGAACATATGCACACACATGTTCATCACAGTACAATTCACTATGGTAAAGAGATGAAAACAACCTAAATGCCCATCAGCATATAAATCGATAACCAAACAACGGTACTTTCACACAATGGAATACTACACATCATTAAAGAATAATGAAGAATACACAAATCATCTCACAATGTTAATGAATTTGGAGGACATTATGCTGAGTGAAATAAGTCAATCACAGATGGACAAATATTGTATGAGTCCATTATTGTAAAAAGTCAAGCAAAGGTTTACTCAGGGAAAGAAATTCACTTTGTTGGTTACCGAGGATGTGAGGGAAGGGGAGGGAAAATCTTAGACTAGTTGGAGGTCACATGTTTATTTGGTAGAGGAGAGGGATGGTATGGAAAGGGTCTGTGACCAGCATGGTGACATTGGGGAAAGGAAAGACACAGAAACATGCACAAAAGATATGGACAACAGAGGCAAATACTATTACTTGCACAATACTGCATTACCACTGGCACCAAACACCAAGCTATGGGTAAATGCATAGAAAGGTGAAAAGATTAGGTGGGGTAGATGAGCAGAAATATACCTAGACCAAGGGTAGATTTGGCTGAAGATAATCTTACATATGCAAAATCATCCACATACATTACAAAAGAAAGAGAAGATAGGGTTGGAGTAGCTTGTCAGACACAACCAAACATCTTGAGAGAGAATTACTGGGCCTGCAGACTTGGGACCATAGTCTAGGGGGACATCATGCTCAATATAGTACATAAAATTCTTGTTCTACAACCTACTTTGGTGAGTAGTGATTGGGGTCTTAAAAGCTTTTGAGTGGCCATCTAACATGCAACTATTGATTTCCTTTCATCTGGAGCAAAGAAGAGTGAAGAAAATCAAAGTCACCTGGAAAGAATTAGTCCAAAGATAAGATGAACCATGAGGACCTTAGCTTTCTAGATACCAAGACCACAAGAAATAGATGGTGTCTGGCTACCAATGCCAATTACTTGGAATGGGATCAAAACTGGACATCCTGGATAGAATGGGAGGAAAATGTTTGAGCAAAATTCAAAAACACAAAAATGACCAGAATTACTGGTCAGATAGAGACTGGTGGAACCCCTGAGAGGCTTAGAAATAGACTCGCTTTCATGAATTGGCTCTCAGCCCAACCATAGAAAGTCCTACATGCAGAACACCTACTCCAGGTGGTGTACCCACCTACTCTAGGGAGATGCATCCTTTAGATCATGCAGCCTTGAGACACCAAAGGAACAGCATTCCCATATAGGAAATGCAGGGCAGACAAGAATGCATAGATAAGATGGGCACAGCGAGCGGTAGTCACAGGGGGGAAGGAGATTTTTTATGGTTGGGGATGGTAATCAGGGCCATAAAATCAAATGTGCATGAACTTTTGAATGTCAGACAAATCTGGTTTGTAAATTTGCACCCAAAGCACAACAAAAAACATTAAATTTTCATGAAATAAAGGAGCATTATTCTATTTAAAAACTTTTTATTAAGGAATCATAACCTATGAAATCAATTAAAAATATGCTTATAGATATACATAATTAAACACCGATTATTCAAATAGCTTTAAAATATTAAAAAGGAATGTTATTAATATACTTTACTGAAATATACATCAACCCTTTCTAAAACTATGGAACCTAGGTGAAATTTTCAATGAGTCATTATATCTGCATGCTCATCTGTAATAGCAGATTCCTCTTCAGCCTCTGCTCTGAGGATTATGTAATCCCTTGTGGGAAGCTAACATTTACTATCACAAATTAGATTGTAAACACCAACACTATAATTTCCTCCCGGCAGAATCTGTCATGAGAGTGAAGACTTATGAGAGATCTAAGCCCTATGTAAATGTCATGTGTTCTATGACATGGTGATTCTAATGTCAAGTCTGTGCTTTCCTGGCACATACCGTCATGTCAAATTAATAACTAGAACTTTGATTTATACCTCAGGATGCCTCTTGTAAGGTTCAGGTTGTGAGGTATATTCTATGATCACTTCATGAGTAAGAAGAAAGAAGATTCTGTGATTGCATCTGGTCAGTTTTCATATTTCCAAAGCTAATTCTTCCTCCAGGATAGTGGAGGTGAAGTGTGCATAAATAGTCAGCACTAAAATCATTCAGTGGAAGAAGGTGAGTTAATCGAGTTTTTAGTGTTCTCATGTACTCTGTATCTTGTGAAGAATGAGGAAGTTTACTGGATAGTAAAACATTCATAAGTATGCAACTCTGACTACTGCCTGCTCCATGCTCTACTTACTCTGCATTGGCTTCATCCTCACTCTGAGAGTAAGACAAAAGTAGCGGTTCCAAGAGGCACATCCAGCATAAGGCAACATCAGAGGAGGAAGAGCTGTATCTGTTTCCTAAATTTATTTATTGAAGTATGATATACATACAGAAGAGTTTACATATCATACATGTATGGTTAATGGATTTCCATAAGCTTTACCACTGGGTGTAACCAGTACTCAGCTTAACTGTGTTTCTCTGTTATGGCTTCATACAGAAGCCAGGAAAGCACATCCATTTTATCGTTTTATCTTCAGCTGGAATGCAAAAAAGCAGGTTAATATGTAGAAACACTGAGGTATACAGGTGATTAGAAATATTAGGCTACTAAGGGTCTCCTGGGGGTCACTATGAGTCGGGTCTGACTCCACAGCACATAACAACAACAACAAGGGTCTCCTGAATATCTGGAACCCATTGTTGACTTCAAGGATTCTTGTAAAGACATTTGAATATATTATAAACAGTGTGGTACTCACTTTTAGAAAGGAGAATGTCAATATGATCTCTTCTTTAAAAAGTCCTGTCTTCATTTACAGTCAGCAGATGGCATGAGTTGGAACTAGGAACAAAAGGGCCAGATGAATGAGAAGGACAGATACGGAGGCTCTGGTGGCATAGTGTCCAAAGCATTTGACTGTTAATCAGAAGGCTGGTGGTTCAAACCAATCAGCCATTCCTTGGAAGGAAGATTGGGCAATCTGCCTCAGAAACCCAAGGAGGAGTCGCTATGAGTTGGATCTGACTTGACGGTAGTGAGTTATTTTGAATCCCACTCCTCATGCTCATAAGCAGGCAGATGTGTATTTCAGCTGCTCTATCCTTTCATATTGTTGTAAGGACAGGAGGAATTGTTTATCACAAGTTAGCTTATGTAGACAAAAGACAGATTATTTGAAATGCTGAGGGATGTGTGTGGCAGTACATTCAGACTTCATGAAGCAAAGGAAGACTTGAATTCTGTCAATCAGAATCCCTTTGTAATAAGTGGGTGTTTGTAAGGAGAGAGTTCTGTACTAATAATGGAATTTTCTTATATGCTCATAGATTTGAAAAAATGAGAATGCTGGGTAGAAATGACTCCTCAGTGAGTGAATTTATCCTGGCTGGGTTAACAGATAGTCCAGAGCTCCAGAAACCTCTCTTTTACTTGTTCCTAATGATCTACATTGTCACCATGGTGGGCAATCTTGGCTTGATCATTGTTATTGGGCTAAATTCTCACCTTCACACCCCCATGTACTATTTCCTCTTCAATCTGTCCTTCATTGATCTCTGCTATTGTTCTGTTTTCACCCCCAAAATGTTGATGAACTTTGTATCGAAGAAGAATATCATCTCCTACATTGGATGCATGACCCAATTGTTTTTTTTTTCTCTTTTTTGTCATTTCTGAATGCTATCTGTTGACCTCGATGGCCTATGATCGCTATGTGGCCATTTGCAACCCTTTGCTATATAAGGTCACCATGTCCCATCAGGTCTGTTCTGTGCTGACACTTGCTGCATATACAATGGGATTTGCTGGAGCCACTGCCCACACAGTCTGCATGCTTAGACTAACCTTCTGCAATGCTAATATTATCAACCATTACTTGTGTGACATCCTCCCTCTCCTCCAACTATCTTGTACCAGCACCTATGTCAACGAGGTAGTAGTTCTCATTGTGGTGGGTATCAACATTACAGTTCCCAGTTTTACCATCCTAATTTCTTATATTTTCATCCTCATTAGTATTCTTCATATCAAGTCCACTCAAGGAAGATCAAAAGCCTTCAGCACCTGTAGCTCTCACATCATTGCTATTTCTCTTTTTTTTGGGTCAGCTGTATTTATGTATCTTAAGTATTCTGTGAAATCTATGGATCAGGGGAAAGTTTCGTCTACTTTCTATACTAATGTGGGACCCATGCTTAACCCTGTGATCTACAGTTTGAGGAACCAGGATGTCAAAGTAGCTCTAAGGAAAGTCTTAGTTAAAATCCATAGGAGAAACATATTTTAAGTAGAAACAGCGATAATGTAAGGAAATTCAAGCATCTCACATTTTTCATGTGTAGACTTTGTTGGTTCTAGAGATTGTGTTATATGTGATTTAAAAGAGTAATTTTTTATCTCTTCCATTATAGCTAATCTTGTCTCATTATTTGTTTGTTTAGCTATTGCCCCTCTTATAACTTTATTAAATAATTAATAACATATTTATTAAAGCAATAAATGCATGGACTGTTGTCATTGCTGTTTCATATTCCTTCTATCTCCTCTTACTAATCTGAACAAATGTTGAGAGTTTCATAAATCAGCTAGGGTAGACTTAACACTTCAGCTTTCTCACTTAAACACAAATGTGCCAGATACAATAAAAGCATTCTCATTCTTACTGGTATAGTCAGTAGGATTTCATAAAATGTCTTCATTACAAACTGTGTATGCAGTTTAAAATAGAACCTAAGCTTCATGTTCTTTTTTTTTTCTACTTATGCACTTATCTATCATTATTATGATTTGTTCTCTTTTGAAAGTGACAAAATCAGTACCATATGCTGTTTTCTTCTGAGAACATCTGAAAGCATACTACGTTTAATATTAAGGAGAATACTTATAACTCTATCTTTTATTGTTAAAGAGAGCATTAACAGAAGATGATTACAAAAATTATATGTATGTATCTTGGGATCTCAATAAGGACTCAATAAGGTTATGTAATAAAAATTACATTTATTAAAATCTAAAATGATAACATATTTTTGAAAAAAAGGATATAGTCTTATTGTAAATTTTTGTTCATCACTTAAAGAAAAACATTGCACATTAGACTACATGAAGTATGTTAACTATTGTTTTATTTATCCAATGCAATTCATCACAAATAACATATAGTGTGTTGTTGTTAGTTGTTATATGCTGTGAAGTCAGACCCAACTCATAGTGACCCCTCCTTAGGTTTCTGAGGCACTATCATTGCGGAAGTAGATTGCCTCATCTTCCTTCCTAGGAGTGGCTGGTGGGTTTGAACCACCAGCCTTCTGGTTAGCAGTCAAGTTCCTTAGGCACTATGCTACAATAACCTATGTTCTTAGGAGCTCTTGTGGCATAGCGCTTAGAACATTTGACTGCTAACCAGAGGCTGGGAGTCAAACCCACCAATCATTCCTTGGAAGGAAGATTGGGCAATCTACTTCAGTAGTGATACTGCCTGGAGAACCCAAGGAGAGGTTGCTATGAGTCAGATCTGACTCAATGGCAGTGAGTTCGGTTTGGTTTTGGTTTATGTTCCTAGAAACGTTTTGTGAGATTACCTAAACCTTCTATTCCTGAAAGGAGCTCTGGTAGTATAGTGCCTAAGACACTTGACTGCTAAACAGAAGGCTAGTGGTTCAAACTCAACAGCCACGCCTTGGAAGCAATGTTGGGCAATCTACTTCAATAGTGATACTGCCTCGGAAACCCAAGGAGGGGTTGCTATGAGTCGGTTCGACTCGACGGCACATAACAACAACAACAATCTATCCCTGATAAGACAATAAATAATCTTTCACATAGAGATTTTTTCCTATAAATTTCTTTATTTTGCTTTATGTATATTTAAAATATCTAGTATCTTTGAAGATCAAGAAACATTTGTTGAATAGAATTTTCTTGTTTAAATAATAATAATAATAATAATAATAATGAGTTTATTATTATATATAATAATTAATATTATGAATAAATAAACAACTAAACTCAACTCACTGCCGTCGAGTCGATTTTGAATCATAGCAACCCCTTCTTGGGTTTCCAAGGTGCTATCACTAAGGAAATAGATTGCCCAACCTTCCTTCCTAGGAGTGGCTGGTGGGTTTGAACCACCAGCCTTTTGGTTAGCAGTCAAATGCCTTAGGCACTACGCCACCAGAGCTCCTAAATAAACAACAGTAAGAATAATAGATGAATCACAACCTTGGGATTTGATTTTACTTTCATGTTCTTTAATATGGTACCAAAATAATGAGAGTAAAATTTTTATTTTTAATTTATTTTATTAAAAGTTTGTGAATACTGTACAGAATCTCTCTATCCCTTCACCACAATTACCATTATAAAAATCAGAATTTTAATACTGATATAATACTAATAATTATTATGCAAATGATATTATATATCACCAGTTGTTTCAGCAATTTACATATCTTTCATATTGCCAATGTAGTAAGTGTTCATATATAAAGCAAAGCACTTGTCATTCCAATATTTTTCACAATGACATTATGCAATAAATTCATTGACATCAGTTACATCCATCATATTATGTAACCATCATCATAAACTGCTTCCAAATTTCCCCATCACCCTTAACAAAAGCTCAGTGCCCCCTAACCTATGACTCTCTCTTTCTCCTTTCTTGCTACCCCTGGTACCACTAAAGCTTTTGATATTTTTCATTCTTCTCTTTTTGACTTAATTTGTCAGTCTTTCTTGTTGTTGCATGACCTTGACTCCTTTAAAGAATTCTCACCCGGTATGTCTGTGGAATGTGTCTTAGGTTTTACTTGTCGGAGATTTCCTCATAACTATTTTCTAATTGTGCATTTAGATAAGAATATGAAAGGTTTGTGCTCTTCTGAGTTTACAACATGTATCATTACTAGTAATTTAAAATTAAAAATAATATTTTTATTGTTATTGTTATTAATACATTTTCCAATTCAACATTCTTTGCTTGTACAATTCAATGAAACCAATTATATCAATCATGTTGGGCAACCACCACAATCATCAATTGCCATATTTCCATCCCCATAAAAAAGAAACTCAATGCTAGCTTTGAACATGATACTGTGTTCATTGGGAACAGCTGCTGTAGCATACAAATTATCATTGTTAAATAAAATAAGCATCTAGACATACATTAAGCAGTCATCATTTGACAAATGCATTCTTTTGTGTATTTATCAGAAACGAGGATTAGAATGAGATTGGATTCAAGTGGAATGGTCCATATGTTATATTTACAGTTTTTTCCAGGCTATGTTAACTCTTCTGCAACTCTCATGAGATATTCTGAATAGAATCAAATCATCTGGGAATTCTACCAAACATGCCATTGATCTATTGAACTGATGTTATATTTCTAATTAGGAACACAAGGAAGAAGTGGCTAGCATGTTAGAGACCATGTAATACACATACATTAGAGAAAATGGGAGGTAAACCTTACAAAGATTCAGAAACCTGCCTGTTCATTTAAATTTGTATGTATCCTCTGGTCAGAGGCGTGCTGAGATATACATTATCACAAAGAAAAGCAAAAGGGACAAACATGCTTGGCATTTCTCAAGCTGACATAACTGAAGAAAAAATTCAAGCTTCAAGTTGTATTATTGAAGGAATCTGTGGGGAAAATACTGAAAGATGTAGGAAGTGTGAAAAGAAGGTGGGAGGAATACAAAAAGTCACAAAACCAAAAAGAAGTTACCAAAGTTCAACCAATTCAAGAGGTAGTATATGAACCAATGGTATTGATGGAAAAAGTCCAAACTTCACTAAAGGAATTGATGAAAAACAAGGTTCTAGGAATTGATGGAATACCAGCTAAGATGTTTCAACAAATGGATGCAGCACTGGAGGAACTTATTCCTTTATGCTAATAAAGTTGTAAGAAAGCTACCTGGAACAACCAACTGGAAGAGATCCATATTTGTGCCCATTCCAAAAAAAAAGTGATCCAAAAGAATGAAGATATTACTGAACAATATCATTAATATCATACACAAGTAAAATTTTTCTGAAGATAATTAAAAAACAGTTGTAGCAGTATATTGACTGGGAATTGCCAGAAATTCAAGCTGGGTTCAGAAGAGGGTATGGAATGAGGGATATCATTGCAGATGTTAGATGGATCATGGCTGAATGCAAAGAATAACAAAATATATTTTCTTGTGTCTTATTAACTATTTAAAAATGTTCAATTATGTGGATCATAACAAATTATGGATAACATTACAAGCAACTGGAATTCCAGAATACTTAATTGTGCTCATGAAGAACAGGTACATAGAACAAGAGGCAATAGTTTGAAAAGAACAAGGGGATATTCCATGATTTAAAATCAGGAAAGATGTGCATCAGAGTTGTAGGCTTTTACCACACTTATTCAATATGCTTACTGAGCAAATAACCTGAGAAGCTGGATTATATGAAAAATAACTTGGTATCAGGATTGGAGGAAGACTCACTAACAATCTATGATATGTAGATGACACAAATTATCTTCTTGAAAGTAAAGATGACTTAATGTACTTACTAATAAAGATCAAAGAATACAACCTTCAGTATGGATTACACCTCCACATAAAGAAAACTAACATAATCACAACTTGAACAATAAGCAACATCATGATAAAAGGTAAAATGATTGAAGCTGTCAGGGATTTCATTTTACTTGGATCTACAATCAACACCCATGGAAGCAACAGTCATGAAATCAGACAAATCTAGGTAAATCTGTTGCAAGAGACCTCTTTGAAGTGTTGAAGAGAAAAGCTTTTACTATGAAGACTAAAGTGTGCCTGACCTGAGCTATGGTACTTTCAATAGCCTCATATGCACCTGAAAGCTGGACAATGAATAGGAAGACCCAAGAAGAAAAGAGTTGATGTCTTTGAATTGTGATGTTGGTGGGGAATTTTTAAAATACCATAGACTGTCAGAAGAACTAACAAATCTTGGAAAAAGTACAGCTGGAATGCTCCTTAGAAGAGAGACTGGCCAGATTTTGTCTCAGGTACTTTGATAATGTTATCAGAGGGGACCAGTCCCTGGAGAAGGATATCATGCTTGGTAAACTGGAGGGACAGTGAAGAATGGGAAGAAAGTCAAAGAGATTGATTGACACAGTGGCACAAAGACTGGCTTAAGCATAGCAAGGATGGCTCAGAACTGGGCAGTATTTAGTTCTGTTTTACATAGGGTTTCAATGAGACCACTTGACACCACCTAACAACAACGAAAATGATCTCAAAG